GGGGTTGGACCCGCCGCCGCTCCCTTCGTCACAGCTCCGCAGCGTTTTCCTGCTGCTTACGTTACGAGTGCCAACCTCCGACGGTTCAACCAAAGTCATGTTCCCGATGGGGCTACGGGGCAGCCTTGCGTGCCCGCGCTGGTGGAAGAGCCTTGTGCCGACAACTGCTGCTCACGTGTTGGGGAGCTCTTCCAAACCCAAGTGGAGCTCGTCAGCCATCCCAGCTGGGAGGACCCGTGTCCATGCGAGATCTTTCTCCAGCTGAATTTCAGTCCTCATTGGAAAACTCCTCACTGAAGTTTTATTTTCTAGTAACATTTGTATGATAAAATCTGGAAGTCCCCTTTGAGTGTATGGGACGTATGCAGGAGTTAATCCCCACCCTGATTTTGTGCGCAGGGGAGAGTTCAGCATCACTAAAACCCTTCAATCACCTCAAATCTTGATGCGTCAGAGCCAATGGAGAAGGCATTTGCCATAACTACTCTTTTTAGCCCAGAATGTCCCACCTGAACGCTGTGGACAGCACGGCACACTTATTTGAGGTGACTGTCAAAGTCACTGTGTCTCATTGGAGTCACTTTAATGGTTCACATAGAGAACATGGTCCTTCCAAAATAAAATTGCTGAACCTTGTGGGCTGAAGAGCCTTTATCCTGTGGTTGCTGCTTTGGTACCCAAGTCCCTCACCAGCTACATATTCTTGTTTTGTCCTTGCAGACTTCTTTGCCATCATGAAAAAACTCTTCTGTGGCAGTTCGTTCACGCACAAGAAAGAAAAAACTGTGGAATTATGGTCTCAGCAGCCAAGTCCTTCTCATGGCTCTTGATGCTGAGGTCTGAAGTCAGCTTGACCACAAGCTGCTCGTCTTTGGAGCAAACGTTCTTGTATGTTTGCATATTCCAAATTTCTCTTTGAAATATCTCGAAGCCTAGAAGGAAGACCTTGAGGAGGTCTTGAGGAGACCTTAGGGCTTTGAGGAGACTTTGAGGAGACCTTAGGGCTTTGAGAAGGTTCTGAGGAGACATAAGGGCTCGATAAGACTTTGAGAAGACTGATCACTAACCACAAACTCAAAATAATATCTACTCAGTCATGAATTTTATCCAGATCTGAGATTTTTGGGAAGAGTCCCCAGAGATATTTGAAATGTCACGTTGGGGTCTTTCCCCGTGCTGGAATACCTTGGTCTGCATCAACCAGCGAACCTCAGAATTTCTGTTCTCTGCAAACGCACAGCGTGAAATCCTGCTCTCTGTCGAGGTGGAACGCAGTTGCGGGGTCACGTTGAGCAGAGCAGCTTTTGGAAAATAGGTGTCCAAATGCAGCGGCTTCTGCCCCAGGAAAATCCCTCTCCGTCCGCGTGACCCTTCGGTACAGCTCACGCAGTCGCTTACCTCCCCCGTATCCGTCGCTTGTGCAGCATACGGCGGTGCTGTCCTCATCTGTGAATTCTTTTGTGCCGATTTTTAAGCCCGTTTTACCTTCTGGGTAGATAGGAGAAAAAGAAAAAAATAATAATGAAATCCCAACTGGCTTTTCCCATCTCGATTTTTAAAGCTCTTCTCCACGTCATTCTGCTTCTTCTGTAAGCTTTTTTGCTTGCTTGGCTTTTTCCTAATCAATCTGGAATCATATTCTGTGATCATCTCTAAATTAAACGTGTAATGTTTGGGTTTTTTTTTTTAATGTAACACATTTTTAAAGAATTAGGAAAAAGGAGATTTAGGTAACACCAGCAAAATTGTATAAGGAAGTTAATTCTGTTCCGAACTTTAGAAATGATAAGACAAAACCTGTCATCAGCCTGCAGTGAGGCAATGAAAACTTTGCAAATGTAACATTTTCAAAAGAATGTTTTAAATATTAATGTCTGAGTGATTGTATTAGATCAGCAATAAAGACTCTGTAATCTCAAAACACAAATAAAACATTGGAAAACTCAGCTTCTCCGGAGCATCTCTCGGGACTGGCAGGA